TACTGTCACTGTCACATCTGTTCATCAGTTGCAATCGGACTAATCCAATTACTGCGCGGGCTATCTTTCCTCTGTCAGAAAAATCATGACATGTCAGTGTACACAAACCTTAATTAACGAATCACTCAACCTTGGCTTAGGTTTGACACTAAGTCAGATACTCTCTAAGCCTTGGTCCAACGCTTAGGGTTGTATGATGCATGTTCACAGCCCAAACCTAAGGGGCTTAAAAGGACTAAAACTCTCCTAAATCCCTGCACTGCTGTGGATACATTTTATAATGACATCATTGTCCCACAGAGTTAGGCTTCTCATCACAAGTTGCTATCCAACCTGTCTCTGTTTTTGTATTTAAAAGTCTATTTACATTAAGGAATAGAAAGGGGGGGAAATCTTTGCCCTCAATACTCTGATGTGTCTTCAAAGGTAGGCGCAGACTTCCATAAGTTCACTGTGTGTGTTGTTGGCTGCAGTATAGCCTCTCTTTTTTTTGTTTTAGTTACTCTCAGAATTGAATGATGATATTAGTCCAAAAGCAAAGTTTCAGTGGTTGATCAGCCCATCTGCTGACTCAGCCTTCCCAGTAATGGGATGTGGTTGCACACCTCTTACTGTTTGTTGTTTATCTGCTCAACCTCCTTCGGGATCAGGGGTAAGGCAAGGCTCTGAACCCCTCCACTAATCATGACATCATAATGGCTGATGCCCTGAGTATTGGGAGTGATTTTGTGGAGTTTCAGTTTAGCACACAGCACCTACACAACTTTGTGGCCATTTCCACTATAACCATCTCTACCTTTTCCGATTCAAAATCCCATTTTCCGGCTAAACCGTTTTCTGCACCAAAATGAGATGATAGAAAATTGTTCTCCCAAAGCAGCTATTAAATGAGAGGCATTAATTTCTTCTCTCCTGTCCAACAGGTTCCTTTAATTATCTCTCCAGTTTCAGTCAATTACATTTCACTTCCTTTCTTTGACAATCACTGCTATTTCAGGGTGAGTGTTATGCACTCAGGAGGTTTGAGATACGTGCTTTAGTAGTCCTCTGGTTTATCCTGCCATTGGCTTCTGCCCTCTCAGGATATGTGCTACTCTAAGCCTCATGAGCAGTGGTGTATAGGTTTCTGAAATGGGAACAGCAATTGCACTACCCTCCTGTTTTGGTAGGATAGGAGTATCACAATATTCAAAGAAATATTTGTCATTTGCATTTTGATGTCTGGACTGTACAATGCTCACCAAAAGTAATAACAGAATACATAACGTTTGACATAAAAGCATAACTAAGAGTCATTTTGTCAGAATTGATTGGATATGTACTTTTTCTATAGACTAAAATGTGAAATTACATTCCCTCAAAATACATTTTTAGGGGAAATATCAAGTAATAGTTTGGAAACAGCTCATTGAGTTCTTGCCAGGTTGACATTTCTCAGTGCTCATAGAGATTAAACATATTGTGAACTAAAAACCCAACTGAACTGCAAAGGGCAAAGTAGGCAGAGACTTGCAAAGAAATAAAATCCGTAATGAGAGGTGCTAAAAAACAAACTCTTCTTTTTACCTCATGTTTCAGTAGTTCCACTATTACCTCTGTTTTTAATGTCTGTCACTTCAGCAACAACCTCCCTGGGGTGTAAAAGGTAATAAGAGCACCCTAATTAAACATGTTGAATTGCTGATTTCACATTGCTCAATTTAGCTCTGGCATAGCAGATATGCTACATGAATGCTGTGCTATTAACCAAGCCAGGCAATGGGATAGTAGGCAAAGCTGGGTTTTGGCTCAAAGGGGACTCAACGTGCCTTTAAAAGTGGGAACTTGTACAGCATCTGATATAAGACTGAGAGGTTTGTGGTGCATGCACGCAAGAGTTACTTTATTCTGTGTATTCTAGAGATCAGCAAAATAAACACAGAACATTTGCTTGCTCATGGAACATTAGATTGCCCACTAATCAGTTCAGCTTCACACAGAAAATCAACAAATGTTATGGAAAACATGAATTTGCTTTCAGCTAATTCACGCTGCTTCCGACATCCATCCTACAAGTTTAAATTAGGGCAGATGAAGATGGGCTTGGTTTAGACTCATAAAAAGCTGTTGATTGCTGGACATCTTTTTGAATCGGAGGAGCTGTGCTTTCTGAATAACGGCTTAGTGTTGAAAAAAACTGTGCTTTGTGGGTGCCCTAGGATAAGAACAAGAAAAAGAAAAACTGTCTGAGCAAGTCATTTTGTAAAAATGAGTGACCTCTGTCGTTGACTGCTGAGATGCAATTTTGTTTTTGAAAAAGCACTGTAACACAGGCCACACAGCAACTGCTTCTACAGGACTGAGCATTTTGTAAAAAATTGTTAGTTTCCATCTGGTTTCAAACTACTAGTCGTGTACGCTTTATGGTGAATACATTTTCTGTGTACCTTTCTCTTTTAACTGTCCATAATATCAATCTGCCCTGCAACATTATTATGTTGTTATAATATGGAAGCTTTTGTTCCACATCCTCTATTGCCTTTTCGAGTAAATCCGACTGTATTATTGTTGCCAGGTCAGCTGTCAGCAGCCTTGCCAGGGAGTAGACACAAACATAATTCTCGCTAATCTTCCTGCTGTCATCCATGTGCATTCAGGGGACCATCGCTACCGTCATTTGGTCCAAGTGATTATCCTGGTGATTTTTCACTTGGTTGCTGCTAATGTATAGAGGTTGATGATTAGAGTGTGATTACAGGGAGAGGTGAAATAGCATGTCTAATATGGTGCAGGAGATAATTGAAGGGTAGTGAGCAGAGACATTAGCCAGGTTCAGAAATGCTTTTCCTCAGGGGGAGACGGTGAACAGTTGTGCTGTGGTTTGGAAAGGCATGGCTGCTGTAAGGACAGTGGGGAGGAGAGCTGGTGCTAGGCATGTTGATATCATGGACTGAAATCAAGACCTTCAGCTTCTTTAAATGACAAAGGTAGTGCAATATAAACTAGAATTCCCTGGCACACATGATCATATCTTTCTTCTTTGATTTGAAACAGGTTTGGCTTTGCATCTAAATTTTAAAAAAGAAAGAGGGAGGTAATGGCAAGAAGAAGAGTCTCAGTAGTAAATATGAACTGGTTGGACTGGTGCCCACAGTACTCAAGCTTAGACCTAATTAATCCTTAAATCTGGTCCTTTGAAAGCATATGGCACAAAAATCTATAATGTTTCTCACTAGGGGTTTGATGACAGTTTCTAATTTTACCATATAAATCATTCCTCCTCAACCTAGAAGCATCAGTTCAAAAAGAACTCAGCGGGGTAAGCTGTTGACTGCCTTTCTTTCCACCCCCTCTTCTTGCCTTGCCCTGCCTCTTAATGCCAGCTGTCAGTGCTCAGAGGGCGGGTACACAGATGTGAGCTGGTGTTCGGCAGAGGAAACTGGGAAGTGCTTATAGTGACTGAAACTGCATTGGTCCTCCCTCTAGACTCACTTTAAACATATTGATCTGGTTTCAGACAGGAAACCTCTTCCGTGACTCGAAAACAGTCCAAAATAAAGACTATGGTAAGACATGACAGCAGTGGAGTGTTCTGCTCTGTCAATATCAGAGAAGCTACAGGCGAGCTGAGCTATGGTTCGGAGTGGTTGTTGGAATTTAAATAGGTTCAGTGACTTTTTTTTCCCCCCATACGTTCTATTTCTAATATACAAAGAAAGCAGGTAAGTAAATATGTTTACAGCAGAATCTGTATACATTATTTTTGGCAGAGCTAAATGAGCTCTAAAAGCCCACACTCCATTGCCATCATTGCAGTAAATTGAATTTGTCTTCTGAGAAACGCTTCTTTTTATCTGCCAAGAATGTTCTCCTAGTCAAGAGTTTTGCAGGACCTCCAGTATGCACACACAGTCTTGGCATTTCGCTCACATACGTACTGGTTAGATTAGGTTGGCGTGCTGTTTTTGAGACAAAAAAAACCCCATTGCCCAATTCATTACTAATCTGTGTTCATCCTTCTGGCAGTTGCAGTAGCTGTCACCTTCCTCCTGTTTTCTCCCTTTGCTGTTCTCCTCGTGATCCTATGTCTCTCTTTTAACCATCTCATTTTAATGACATGTGGCTTCATAATTCATACTTCATGATGAAATACAAAAGGTCAAGAAAAAAAATAACAGAAGACACCCAATGTCCATTTTGCTTGGTCTTTACAGTGGATTGTCGCATGAACACAAAGGCTAGCGAGAAGCCTTAAACACCTGCACGTTGTCCAGCACAGACATCAGTAAGTTCAGTGCTTGTTTTTCTCTTGTCATCCTTTTTTTTTGTCTTCCAGAACAGCCTTTCATAGCTGTCAGAGAGTGCAGTGACTTGCGCATCATGATGAGTGAGATATCCAGTGGCTGGTACCTTAACATCCAAGAGAAAGAAACTTCTTGCACACAGGGGCAGATAAATGTGTTCTTTTACGCCCCCCCCCAAAAAAAAAAAAAAAAAACACACTTCCCCACGTGTTTTTTAACCCCCTTGTCATTTCAACTTCAAGTATTTTTTTTTTAAACAACAGCAAAAGTTAGCAAATCTACATCTTTTTTTTTTCTAGTCTACGTCACTATTCTACAAGCTGGTGCTAAATCAGCATCCAGAGCAAAAGATCAGCCCCTATACTACGGTTCCATGTCCTTTTTATACATTATTTCCATTTTCTTTTATTCATACTTACAGTAGGCCACTGGATATTGATTTAATGATTTTTTTTTTTGACTATGAGTAAATTGTAATACTTGCAGCTACAAGGTATGAGTTTTTTAAATATATATTTATATATTTATATATTTATAATCTTTTAAAAAGCGTTTAGTCCTTTGGTCCCTATTTCCTAAGGAATGATGCATGTAAATTATCCTGGATTCTCCATTTGTCTCTTCTTCTTCTTGTTTTCTTCTTCGATCCAGAGCTTGCCCTGTCACAGAGCACAACACCTGTGTAGGCACAAAAACCAAAATGGCAGCAGGCTGGTGTGTGTGTTTGTGTGTGTTTGTGTGAGCGCACACGCATGAGTTCGCTTCAGTCCTTGTGTTGGCATTTGCACGTATTTATACATGTACAAAGTAAGGTTTCTGTTTTTTTCATTTTCGAGTTTTTCTTTTAAGTGTCGCTTCTTTGAATGTGTATGTTTGGTTTATTTTCTGTTTTTATGTGTATTATCTATATCCTGTGTCAGTATGCATGCTTTGAGCATAATGAGTCTATAAAGGTTTTTTTTCTTGTCATGTCTAAAAAACAGCAGCAAAAAGTTGGTCTCTGCAAAAAATCTTCTTCCACAGACGCCAAAGCAAAACAGGGAAAAAAGAGGCATTTGCGAAGAAAAGAAAAGAAAAAAAAACAACTCTGGGGTCCTTCTTTCAGTCACCCAATCTTTCAGCGGCCTTCCTGGAGGATCAAGGGACCACCCTTCCTTCATGATATGTAGCAGAACAAGAAGTCTTTGTACTTTTACTGCACTTGTGGAAATAAGGTGTTGTGGCCCTTCATCCTGTGACACAGAGAGAGGAGGAGAAAAGAGACAGGGGAGAATAAGGTGAGTGGATTCAGTGAGGCTGTGGCAAACATGCTCAGGGGTGCTGGCTCCTGGTTATCACACAGACTGACAGGCACAGCCAACAGCATGAGAAACAGACGGGAAGAAGAGAAAAAAAAAAAACGGAGTGTGTCAATCACAGCCAGAAATAAGTGGGCTAGAGGTAGGGTGGGAGATTTGTGTTTAAACCATATGGAACAGACATCTACACTGTGACAGCACTAATCCAAAGGAGGTCTAATTTGAACTGACTACATCTTCCTGTGGGGGGGAAAAATTACCAGAGATTTTGGGCTTAATCTTTTTTGTTTTGTTCTTTTATTCATATCAAACTACAAAAAAGAAGGAGGGGACACATAAAGAAAGCAAGACTGTGGATTGAAATTATATGAAAATTAAAATGGCCAGAAAGAAATCTTCATATATCCATACATAACCTCTAATTATGAACCCATGACGTTTTTGCTGCGTTGAACTTGAGTGTTTTTCTGCCATCAAGCTTTGGATATAAGAAAAAAGAAATCCTGTTTACAACCTATTAGCCCTAATATGTTGTGAGCTATGATACGGGTGAACAAAGGCTACAAAATCACAGCAAATCACTCTCTGGGAGTGAACATGAAAGGGTCTGACTTTGTGACGGGAGCACTCAGTCAGGCGCTCTTTGTTCTGCCTTTTCATTCCTGTAAATGAGCTTGTTACCATTTCATAATAGATCTGCTTTTCAGATGACAAAGCTGAGAATCAAACTTATTCCAGTTCATTCCAGCCCAGCCATTAGTGACATATAGCACAAACAGCCCCAATTACAGATGCATTCTGTTGTACACCACTATTCTCCTTCTACATGTGCCACAAAAGAAACACACAGTGGATTTAAAATGTATCTTTTTTTCCATCTATGTGAACAACATCCCTCACAGCATTGAACTATCTCATCAACCAAGTTTGTCAAATGATAAAGGATTTTTATTAAAGACTACCTTATTAGAGGGCTCTATAAAGGAATCCTGGGGCCTGATGCATAAAATCATGTGAACACACAAAAACAGAAACGTTTATAGACATTTATTTTGCCACATTTAGTATGCATTGAGTAGTTCTCTTTTATAAATCCCAGTCAACACGACGCTATAAGCATGCACATGAAGCTGATTTCCATTCCCACTTTTGAATGGATATGAATGCTAGAATCTTTAGTTATTTGCATATAAAAATCATATTTGCACCTCAACTTAAAAATACATCAAGGAAAACAACCGTAAAGAGGAAGTGCAATTTTACCAATAAAAAAATGAAAAAATTAATCAGTGAAGTGGAGAAAAAACAAATGTTTTATGTGGTGGTCTCAGCTCTAAAATAATGGGCAGAATAAATAATTGCTGAATGGTAAAAAAAACAAAACAAAAAAAAACATTTAGTCAGTAAAGTTTAGAACAAAGGAATCTGGAGAGATTAAATAACAATACGAATTTTGTTTGATTATAAATCAAATATCACAGCAGCAATCACCAACTCATGCCTAATCTGCTGAAAATAGTCAGATCAACACAGTCTTATTTGGAGGTGATCAGGAGGCAGGCAAAAGTACAAATATAGCATTGGATTTTGGCTGGTTTCTTTAACTGCTTTGGTAAAGTGAAGCAGAACATGAGCCAACCTTGTGAAAATTAGGGATTTTTCAAAGTTGATATTAGTTTTCTGCTGCCAATGTGACGCATTGCAGCATTTAAACAGCACATCAGAAAAATCAGATGGCACAAAAACACACAACAGTAAGTGTGAAAAAACAATCTGTTATGCTGTTCAAATGCAAATATTTGATATTAAGCTTGAGCACCATTATTTTAGCTTCTACTTTCCCATATAACGGTCAAATTAATGTTAAAATATGTCCACATGGTCTTAAAAATGCATGAGATGTGCACATTTTCATCACACATAGTTTTTGTTAATATAAATACCAGTTTGTTTTTAGTAAAATGCGTATGCATAATGTTTGTGTGTATACCTCATTTATGCATCAAACCCCAGGTAGTTGAAACTATTTTTTCCCTGCAAGTCCTCTGAGAGAATAAACACCAGCTAACACCTCTCGGGATACTGCCTTGGAGGATAGTAACAATTCCACTTGCAAAGAAAGGACCCTTTTCACTAAATATGTTAGGTTTCATACCATTTTAACATTATTTTTCTTAATCAAACAACAATTATCTTCACTATAAATAGCAAATATGCAAGATCTACTTTATGAGACAGTTTTCTCCCAATAAAAAAACGGTAAATGTACAGTAAATGTGATGGACAGTTTTTGGCCCATATTAGTCTTTGACTGTGCTTTCAGCTCCGCTGTTGTAATTGGTTTCCACCCTGATAGATAAATAAATGTGAAGTAATTCACATGTTAGACAAACAAAACAATCTTTCAGAAGTATTCCCTGTGCAGATGGAATCCACAGAGAAGTGGAGAGTCAACATTTGCCTGAGCACTCTGTGTAGACGTCTGAACTGTAATTGGCTGTACAAACATAGGGTCATCTTGGCCATCTCACAGCCAAACAGCTGTCAAACATAGGAGAAAAGGGTCCTTTTTACAAAGACTAATTGAAGGACAGATAGGCTGTATAAGACTGTATATGTAGATGTGAAGAAAAAGAGAAATAGAGAGTACAGTACATCCATACACATGAACCCCACAAGAGAAAGTAAAACATCACAAGGGCACACGGTACAATGGCACAAAGGGTCAAAGGCCACTTCCAGTTATAATCAACCACCCAGTCAGCACGTCATTTACATTACCAGCCAAAAAAGGCGTAGATAACTGCACTCCACAAACTGCCACTGTACACTATACAGTATATATATAAATATATATAAAAAAGGAGGGCAGAATATGAAGAGATAGAGTTGAGAAATATCAACCAACGCCACGTCATGCAACGTAGTCACAGTCCCACCACATGACGTCATCCAAAAGAAAATGACACCATGGGTTCAACTTACAGCTGTGGGAACTTGGCCCCGTGACAGGTGTCGGGGAAGGGGGTTGTGTGGCTATAGCGAAGACAGGCCACCTCACACTGTGATTGGCCATGTCAGGTTGCCAGGTTGATGGCGGTGCAAAAAACAAAAGAAAGAAACAGTGGGATTTTCTTTTTCTTTAGTCAGAATTCAAAGCACCCTGTCCATTTTTTGCACTCCACGCTCACTAGTTCTGCCTGACAAATCAAACAAGATTATTATGGTTATTGTCATAAAAGTGAAAAAGTAAAGACAATAAAAAAATAGGAACAGGACAAATAATATGCAGCACAGAAACAAACTTTTTGTGCCTGGGTGTGGATAAATATTCCCAGTCTGAAAACATTTACAGGTTAAAAGGTTGAATAGATGTTTTTCTATTCACATAGATAACCCTTATTGTGGACATTTTCAGAAACTTGTCCTGTATGCCACATTTGGATTTGTCTAGTATTGTTTGCTATGAGGTTGGTCGTGTAGTAAGTGCTTCAGCTTTTTTCTTTTCTTGTCCTTTTCTTTTCTATTCTTTTTTTGCATTAAGTTTATCTTTCAGAAACAGAATGCAATTTTAAACTAGCAGGGTTCCTGAGACCAGAAAGAGAGAATCATGTTTGATTGTGTTTTTAATTAAACTTCAAAGTATCACTGTTAGTGTCAGAGACAAAGAAAGTGTGTGTGTATGTGTGTGTGTATGGGGGGGTTCTCATAGGTTTTTACCTATGAGGTTTCTACCTATGAGAAGCACAAAAGAAAATGATCTTTAAAGTTTCATCCAATGTTTTGTCACAGTAATAGAAGTTTAGAAATAATTCAGAAAATGAAAGAGTTGAACTTAAATGTCAGTTAGTTCCAAACACTTGCGAGTGTGCCATGATGCTGGAATCCAGGAATAAAAAAGGAAATTTAAAAAACAAAATGTTTTCAACAGATCTTGTGTACACAAACTTTAATTATTCCTAAGACCAACAACTATGACAAAGAACAGCCTTTGGAAGCCCTGGTGTATTGTTTCTTTCTTGCGTTCATAGGACTGGTCTCGGTTTTGCTCCAGTGATTTTATTCAACTCAACAACAAAAACAGTGAGAGGGAAATAAAAAAAGATGTGATTTTAATTGGACCAGAGACAAAAAGAGGACAAGGAAAACATACACACCACCATCCATGCACACAACTCTTGCTGAAGTGATAGAATGCTGTAGGAGGGAAATGTCTTAAGTTGCTTCCCAAATGCATCACGATGACTGCGCTGTCATTTAGTGCTGTTGCGGGATATTTTCTATTTTTCGCTTGCTAATGTGATAAATCAAATTCTCCCACCCACTTTCTTTTCTCCATGTGTCAGCTTTGAACGCTTCTCCTCAATTAGCAGGCCATAGCTCTATTCAAATGCTATCAGGAAAATGATCGAGGGAGCATCTATCATTTGTATTGCATATGCCATCCTGTGGCATTTAAGAGTCGAATCTTATACAAGCAAATAAGATTACCAAGCTCTTATTGATGGAGGAATAGAACTCAGGCTTATGTTATTGTAATGAAAAGTTGTCCAACCAGTTGGAATCAGAGAGCATGCATCTATATTATTTTTGAACTGGCAGCAGTGGTCTGTGTGGGCAATGATTATTTGAACCAAGAGTGACACTGTGAAATGAGTCAATTGAGGGATGGTTATAGTAAAAGTAAGCTGCATTTTTATTGTTATGTGTGAAAGTTCTCATTTTTAAGGGGTTAAAATAAGCACTAATAAATGAAAAAAAAAAGATACATAATTTGAAAAGTAACCATTATTATTTTACCATTATTTTACCAGAAAATGTTAACCACACAGTCAGCTATACAATAGCTGTTCAATTTCCATGTGAAATGTCACATTTATCATTTTAAAATAAGTCCATTGCGTGCACAAGAAAGACTGATTAAATCTTGAGAAAAGGCTCATTGTTAAACGTCTGTTTGCGGCAAGGTTTCTATTTGACCTCCTCTAACTTGATTTGAAAAAAGTGCAACATGCATTGTGCTGAGGGTCTCCTTATTGTTTGTTTCACAGATCATATAAATTACCAGTATTCAATGAATATGTCCTTAGGGAAATAAAAAGTAGACCAAAAGTGTAATAAACTTTTTGACAAAAATCAGCTTGGCAACAACTTGACTGATTCATGTAAACCAGGACTCTCCCATTAGACAATCAAAACAAAAACTCTATCATGAAGTTAGTGCACTTCATGATAGAGGCCAATGCAGAGAGTATATCCTTTTTTGCTGAGCATCTTCCGGTGGACTTATTTTAACCATCACAAATCATTTTCCTTTCACATTGCAAGTGTATCTTAATGTATTCTCGCTCATCTCCTCTCAGATTTGTATAATAAGTCAGGGTGCAGCACATCCTTTGCCAAGTTGTTGACAGAAATGTAATGCTGAGCTATTTTAAGAGGGAAAGGGGTGATATTATGTTCTATATACATGTATCTTAAGACTTTGTTCCCACACTATTGTCGAAGACAGGTTTTTATGTACCTCTGTGAATTAATGATGTCATCACTCATACCTGTAGCTTCCTGAATGGATGAAAGAGATTAAACAAACTCTAGGAGTCCATATTGCTATGGAATGTAAAAATGTGATGCAGGGTTGATTTTATATAATTTCTGAGCACACCGGGACAAAGGTGTAGATTACTTGCATTTTCTCAGATCCCACAGTGGAGTACATTTGACAATAACGACACAAATTTTTGAGCTTCTGTTTTCTTAGACAAATGTATAACGTCGACAGAGTGTCTTAAGATATCACAGGTGATTAAATCTGTGGGATACTTGAAGGTTCCTGTGGTATCCTGTTTGACCAATGTGCATTGTCCATACCTTGAAACGGCAGAATACTGTAAAAGCAGCAAGACCGATTTAGTCCATGATCATGTTTTTCAAGTGAAATGGATGGTTTTCAGTGTCCCGTAGTGTTTTGATGCCTGAGTGCCTCTGTACCTGGGTATGGACAGCAGACGAGTCAGTAAGGTCGGTTGGCATCCTTTGGCCGCTTTAGTTGCACCTTCAGCCTCTTCATGCCTATCTGAAAGCCGTTCATGGCCTGGATGGCGGCTTGAGCACTGGACGGGTTATCAAAACTTACAAAGCCTAAGAACAGATCATGGAGCAAGGGAGGGATGAGACATGAAAGGAGATGAATGGGAGAGAGAGAGTGAGAGAGAGAGACAGAGAGAGAGAGAGAGAGAGAGGAGAAGAAAAGAAATAGGGATGGAAAGATTCACAGAGAAAAAAAATTAAGAGGAAAGAAAAGAAAAAAAACCTTTTAACTTTCAACAATGACACAACAATAGCGCTTTGTTTTCTCTTTTCAGTAGATTAATTGAAAATCTCTGAATTAAAAAAAGATTACACAAAATACCACAAGGGCTAATAACGCAGATATTAAAAATCAAACAAAGGGTTATTAGTAACCGGGATTTTAACTGGAACAGAGAGAAGGAAAAGACTCAAAAAGGTGTTCAAAGATTAAAGAAGGGGAAAAAGAGAGGTTCGTGTCTAGACTGAATTTTTGGAGCAAAGCAGAGTCTGGGAATCTTGCCTCTGTGTGCTGTGTGTGTGCCTGTTTTTTTTCATTTTACGTGTATGACTGAGCATGAGTCTAAGTAAAGAGCAAAGGGCAGCGGGTCACGATGAGACGCTAGGAGCAAGGTGTGTAGGACGGAGGGGCCTGCTGCTCTGAGTTATCACTTGGGTGTCAAGGCAGAATGAGCCCACAGCTTTCCCCTACGGGACTCCTTGCCTGCTCTTATCAGACACCTCTGTGATTGACAGCCAGAATTTTCCGCCTGCCAGCTGATTTGATCACACTGCTATGGGTCCAATTTAATTTGGGGTAGAGGGCAGGCTTTTGTCAGTGCTGGTGAGATAAGGCTGCTGCTTTTACAAACCCTTTAAACAAACTGAGCAGGGAAGGGCCTGTCGGTTGGTAGTGATCCCCCCCCCCCCAATCCTACACACACACACACACACACACTATCCCTGCCTGTGATAAAACTATAAAACTCACATTTACATCCGCATGCTACAAAGGTTTCAGGATTGTTTTGTCCAGGTAAGGAAGACAAAGATTAAACTTTAAACAATAAAATAAAATCCAGACACATTTAAGCTGACATAGGAATACTTTTTTTCCGTATATCCTCAGTATATCCTCCTTTTTATAATTGGGTGTTACAAAATGCCTCGTACGTGCCCAAGAGTTTTTATTTTATTTTAAATAAGTTTTTTTTTTTTAATCCAGTTGCCTTGAGAGAAACCTTGCAGGTTGTTTTTGGAAATCTGGTTTTCCTGTCAACTACAGCAACATTAAACTTCTGCAGTCTCATCCACTTGAGGCAGTTGTGATGGGTTTTATTTTGGTAGGTCCTTAAAATAAAGTCATAAACCTGCATACAAGTACAGTTTCTCTTAAATGTAATGGAATTCCAGGATATAATATCTGAATTGGATCCTCCAGATGTTTTTCTGATGATTTGCTGTCGTTCTGATATTTTTCATGCAGCACCCAGGGTGTAGTGCTACCCAGCTCAATACCCAAGCATTTCTAGTGTGTGGTTTACTGCAAGTAACCATGTCGGAGAATATGACACATTATAACGGTATGCATTTTTTATGAAACTACACAAAATTGCAGGCATTTTTGGGTTGCAAGTAAGAGTCAAAGACTGGTTATGCAGCTGGGATCACAATTCTTATGTTGCTGCCCCCCACCTGCGCTATAAATCAGGGGGGAAGAAATTGCTGTTATAAATATGCTGTGTAATGCACATGTGTAATATAATACTTGGTAATGTGTATAACTAAATGTTACTAGAGATACGAAAATCTATTTATTGGCTCTGGCAGTATAGAGGTTAGCCCCTGGTTCTCAGCATGGTATGGGAATAAAAATCGTAACATTAAGTTAATTAACTTAATTAACTTGACATTAACTTAATTTAAACACATACTGAAAACTGTCTAACGTAAAGAAAAATCAGCCATGGAAAACAAAAGACTGGTAGGAAAAAAAACAATCTTCAAAAGACCTTTATGAACATTATTCTAAATAATGTTTTTCCTTATATCTCAAAAGCCTACAGCGCTTTACTTAAAGCTCATGTAGATGTACTATTCTCACAAGACCTTTTGAAATGTATTTTCAACCTAATTCCAGCTAATTACACTGAACAGGCTATGCTTTGATCAATTTCAAAAGTCAATATGGAGTGACTGACTGCAGCATCTTAAGTATAATGTTATACCCGCTGAGTCTTAGATTAGACTCAACACAACCACATCAATTCCTCTCTAAGGATTGTGCATGCTTTTCTTCACACAAACACACCATAAAATAGGTATATTTGAGTTGCTGAAGTGCCTTTTCAGTGACCTTTTGATCATTTCCAAATTTCTGATAAAACACACTGTCAGGGAGATATCTGATCTCTTCACCTAATCCCATGTATAACAGGGATACATTAGACTTTTTTTGTAGGTAAGTCTGTTAAATCTCAGAGGCTAAATAACGCATTGACAAAACCACAAAAAAATAAAAATCTGAATTCTGTCAAGAGGTAGACATGTTGGGGTAACCTGCCGGGTGCTTTGGAAAATTTCTCTCCAACTAAGAAAGATCAATGGCTTGTTACTTTGTCCAATGAAGCTGCATGTTTATACAGTTAAAGTGTTTTTTTTCCATCTACATCTGTTTATAAAGTATGTGGAAGCACCGACACAATATGTGCATAAGCGTATGTGTTTTAAATATGCATTAACATGAAGAAACAAACAATTTATCTAAGGTTACTTATTTCAGGTTTTTACAAGGCTTAACAATTTCCTTCTATTCAGCTGTATTTTTGTTCCCTCATTTGTTAGCATACCAAAAAAGAGCCCGGGGGCTCTTACTATAAAAAGGGGCAGGAATTAGTCCCAAAAATTGTGAAAAATGACATGTTAAATAGCCGGTTTGTGGCTTACATCTTAATCACCAGCTGTGGTGAGACTGATGGGGTCACTGCCTTTTTGGCCCCATCCCCCTTGTTGACTGACAGATAGCGTTAGCGAGAGGCATATGTTGCAAGGAGGACACAAAGAGTGAGTGAGAGAGACAGATTGTCCTGAAATGGAGAGATGAGACAGGTGAGGAAGAAGAGAGAGACACTCCCACGAATGGTGTTGAGGAGAAACCCAGAGAAGTCATGGATGGGAGTCTCGCTCTCTCCCTGGCTGCAGGTCTCCAGGGTGCGGCTGTCCGACTGAATCAACAGCAAGGCCAACACCGGTCTATTATTATCTCTTTAAGACCACAGATTCCACCTGCCCCGCCTCCACCCTGATGAACTGGTTTAGTGTGTGGGAGGTGAGACGTGAGGAAGGCAGGGGTGGATGCTGCTTGGTTGCCCGACTTGAGGATAGTGGGCAGTCTGGGAAAATTCTTTTCACCGGGGTGAAGAGGGCTGGGTTTTGCAGGAAGGGAAAGTGTGTTTGTGATTTAAAGAAAAAAGGAACATCTAGCCAAACGGGTCAGTCTATATTTTTTATTGACAGAAGTCAACCATTTTTGTTGACTACCTTGCTAAAGCCCGAAACTCAGCATTTGAAGTTTTGGCAGACGGATGTTGAATGTAAAGTATGGATACTATATGTCTCTGGGGGTAACTGACCTGCCACCCACAGCTTTCTTCCTGGGATGATGCATATCCTTGCATGGGTTTTTATGAGATACTTTAAACTATAAGTTAGAATCGCATCTATAGGAAACACTTTTTATTTTTTTGAAAATCAGCAAGCCTTTGATGCTAATTACCAAACACCAGAGTAGAAAATGGACAGATGAAGAGAGTATTGTTTGTATTTGTGTATATTGGGACCTCCTACTGAACGATCTTTGCATGGAAAAAGTTATTTACCATCATCTTCTATTTTCTTTTCTTACTTCTGAGCATCCCTGTTGCAAAATGGCCCACAGTCCATGTAATGGAATAAGGATATGGATCCAGCCCGTATTAAGAGTCTGAAGAGTCACTGAAATTGCTGAGAAATATTGAGGTTTGCAGTGTGTTGAGGGAGCAAATATGTTGTGGAGGGTAAAACCATATCATGAATGTTGTCTTGTTTATTGCACCTTTAAATCTTAGTATTTCAACAGGATTACCTTGGAGGACTCATTTTTGGATTTGTTTTTTGGATTTGCCTATTGTTTTTAAATATCTCTTCTAACAAGGATAAATCATTATTTGCACGTCAATTATGGTCCACACAATGGAAGAAAAGGCTAATGCTAAATGTTAGAAAACAATAAATGTCATGACACAAGTACCATTTACATCGCATTTGTTATTTCTGTATTTTTCCTTTTTATTCAAATACATTTTTGACTCACCAAAACATTTGCTCTGATTGGTTGCTCGATCCACAAAGACTTTGGCAGAGATGACGTTGCCAAAAGGTAGGAACATTTGCATGAGCTCAGCGTCTCCAAACTCCTGGGGCAGGTGATAAATAAACAGGTTGCAACCTTCTGGCCCTGGTGATGAGAGAAAGACAGCGGGAGGGTTATGTGGGAGCATAAACAGGACATGCCCTGTGAGAGGGTGGCTGACCATAATAACATAGGTGGAAAAATGACCGCAAAGCAATCAAGGAATATAATGTAGTAATGGAGAAAGAATTGCATTTGTTAAACCACATTATTATGGCATTTGTGGAACTTAATCCTATTCTCAACATGTTGTTTGAACAGCTTTTTTTGGTAAATGTGTCTATTTCATTTGAATTCTCTAGGGCCCTGTTTCCCATATGCTACTGTAATATCTACAAAGAAAGGGGTTATTTTACTAAGTAATGCTAAGTATTCAAACGTGTCTGTTTTCTTTGAAAATATGTTGGCAATAACAAGTTGCTGTCAGCAAACTGTAATAATAGGTGGAACAAAAGAGACAGGGATAACAGCAGAGACAACAAGAATTGTTGATTGAAAGAGAAATACTGAGATGTTTACTGGGAAACTGGAGCACTGAGACACGGGAAAACACGGGGAGGAGGTAGAGCACATATTAAGACATAAGCCAAGTTTTTGCTCCAATTACTATGTGTCAGTAGGACTGTCTTCCAATCTCTGCCCATCCCTCCACACTCATCGAGCCAGCTGCCACATATTGTACAGGCCAGTGTGGATAAAGGCTGGGATGAACTGAAGGGAGACAGGACAGAGGAAGAGAAGGGGGAGTAAGAGAGCTGAGGATGGATGTAGAGAGAAAGAGGAGTGTGATGGACTCAGTGACAGTAAGCTTGGAGCTGGCTGCCTGGCTAGCTTTCGCTCCTGTCTCATTGCTCAGGGTGATAGCATGACGAGATGAGACTGGGTCTGGTGAGAAGGCTGATAAGAGGGCTGCAGTGGTTGCTGGCTTTAGTGTGGTGCCGTTATGCTTCTGTGAGATAGAGGACACACACACACACACACATCTGCACGTGCACATATGGTTGACAAAGCCGTTTTTAATATAGTTTTAATTTTAGTTCTTTCATTTTAGGTTATGTGTGACATCATAGGGTTTTTTTCCTCCATGAAGAGTTTGTTTTAGGGAATGAAAAACCTGTATATTGCGTGGCCACTTCATATATCCCTTTCTCATATTTGTTATATCTGTCCTGTCATTATAAGCTTTTAAAGTAATTCTTGGATGTACATAAATTATTTGTGGGTGCAACTGTTCACAGTGGGTCACCTGAGGCAGTTACGTTCTTCTGTATCACCTGCAATGTTATGATCATCATGTGGTTAGTGTTGATAATGCTCATTAGTCATATGTAGCCAGGATCCGGCTAGTCAGGAGAGAGCTATAATAGATTTTCCATGTAAAAACCCAACAGATATCCATCAGCATAATCATTTATTTATCACACATAAATACAAATTAGCATAAATTAGATTAAAAGACATTGAGTAACTTTAAATATATACCAAAAGATGCAGACATGTTTGGTAATTCTAGACCTTGAGAGATGACTTAACTGTATGCAGAGAAGCGTTCCCATTTTTGCAGCATTGCTTAAAATAAGAGGCATGTTTAATGCGTGTGTTAATATCAGATTTTATTTTAGGATGTTACACCATGCTGCCTAAGATGACATAAAAAAGAACATTTTCTCCCTCAGGGATGATATGATTTGTTTCCTTGAATTCATAGTTTGGGGTTTGGAAGGATTTTCTTCTCCGACACACGCTGAGACACAGGCTGATAGAATGCATTGTTGAAAGTGTTAACTCTCAGCTGAAGCCGAGGCTTGACTGTGCCCATGTATTCAGGTTTGGATGTATCTTGTTAAATGGCAGGGCTGCAGACTGTGGCAGTGGACTGAGACAGGCTGGGACAGCAGCCAAGACCCCGAGGAGGCCAGAACTCAGACAGGCCACTGGCTAAACCAAGAATAGCTCACTGTGTGTGGCTGTTTCTGTGTTTGTGCCACTCTGACTTCTATCATTCTTTCTAATGAACAGAATGCTCCAAATTACCATTGAAAGGGGGGATAGCTACATCCATTGTATGTTTCGTTTCTATTGTGCAAAATTATTTTGGCATGCAAGTTAAAAAAAAAGCACTGACATATGTAAGTATGTGTTTCCCTTTTTCTATATACAGCTCTGTGGCCCTCACGCCCTCACAACGGACAAAATTCAAACATAAACTAACTTTTCCTCCTGGCAGCATTAGAAACATTCAATTACGAGTTCATATATTGAATATTCATGCCAATCTATGCTGTCTCTTATAATCACATAGTTGAATAATTGAGACTGACGAATGGAGTCAAAAAGAGTGATTTACCATCAAAGTATATCCTATGCTTTATTACATCTGATGCTGTGGCATAAGAATGAACACCACTCAAGGAATGGTAGTAAATGATTATGCATGCAGCTAATTAATCTGATGAATATTTATAACCACTTAAACACATTGTAATGGACTGATTAAGCAGTCCAACGCTGCGAGTTTGAATTAGTGTAGTTTTTGAATAATGACAGAGTAACTTTCCATCTCACTGCTAATGTTCTTCTCTTTAAATGGGGAGCCCTTTTTTCACATTTTCCCCAGCCAGCTTTTCCCTCCCTCGCTAATTCAAAGCAGTGCAGCTACATTAGAATGGAACATGGCAATTATCACCTTTTATCTTGGGTGGGCGCGCTTGCTCGCTCTTACCTTCCCTCTGTTGCTGGGGAATGATGGTTGGTTGCTGGGGGAACGCTTGGCTGATTGGCGCATAGGCGGCAGGGTAGGCTGCTGTTGCAAAGGGAGAACCAGAGTGGAATTTTTCACATCTCCATTTTCATATTTGACACAACAAAACTCAAATCATTATTCCATTGTTCATTTGTGTCCTCTAGACATCGCATAAATAAATTGCATTATGACTGAGAGCTGGGGCTCATTTGACTGTTGGATCGCTACACAAAGAGAATGGCAAAAGGGGGAGTGGAAGGCAGTTCAACTAAGCAGAGGTACAAAGAAAGAGAGGGAGACTTACACCATGTTAATGAGAGATGATGTCAGGCACAAAGCAGTGGTTATGAGGGGTCTGTCATTGTTCATGTAGGAGGCTAAGGCAGATTCAAATCCTCAGCTCTCAGTATACTTTTGGAATTGGAGTTTTTATGTGAGGCTGTATTATCAAGTCATGTAAAAAAATCCTTTAGCAATCCTAATGCAAAAGTAGCCTAATCCAGTAGGAAATTGGCTAGTCATGTGGCTATCTCTACCTGTCATGTTGCCTAGTGATGTGAGAAACCAAAAAGGAGAGGGGGGAGGTAAAGGGACAGATGGAGAAAGTGAGAGAGAAGAGGAGCTAGGAGAGACAGATCACCTGCATAGTGCTGGACACCAGCATAAGCCTGTTGGAGAGGGTCAGTCACTGTTGGACTCTGTGCTGCAGAGACAGACAGAGACAGGGGAATGACAATGAAAAAATGGAAGCAAAGGGAAAAAGGACACACAGTGGTCAAGACAGACATAAAGACAAAGCTACGGAGATGATCTTAAAGATCAAGAGAGAAATTGGCTTCGCTGTAGAGATCCATCAGGCGGTAAGATCACACAGGGAGTCGGTGAAATTTAGGTTGTCATATCTTGCAGTTCTTCGAAGTGCCTGTTCACCCCAGATGTTTGCATCAAATATTAACAACGTGCCAAACAAACCACTTTGTAGTTCATTACGATTGCAGCTGCCTTTGCAGAATGCAGAAAAGGGGAGTGAGTGTGTCAGTTTTTCAGGAATTAGTCCCAGACAACATTAAGAGGCTGAGAGTGGGTTGAGATGCTTCAAATTAACCGTAATTGACTGATGGATGAACTGATGGATTCATCATGATGCTAGGATGAGCTTCTCAGAAATCTGCAAGAGATACTGTTGATTGAGCTTCAAACCATGAATGCTTTAGTTAAAATCAAAGAATTGCTTGAAAAAGGGGAATCAAAAACACTTTTGTCATCTTAACAGTATTGTTTGATATGATACAATTTGTAAATATGAACATATTCAAATAGGATAGCAGATATTAGATATCATTCGTATACAGTTTAAATTCAACATTACATTACTTGAAAAATTGTAGAAAAGTGCAAGCAGTTAACAAAGCCAGGGTCAAAGCAACAGACAATATATTCTACAAACATATCTGATGTTTCCTTTATGTAAATCTGCATTGGCTCACCTGGGTAAGGATGAATACCATTGGTGTAGATGGGCTCGGATGTGGGTTGGCCGTTGCTTTGAGGCGGAAGGGCACTGAATCCATTGACCCCAATAGGGGTGGCTATGCTGGGCACGGCTGTGGCAGAAATGCCTGGGGGTGTGCTGGTGCCTGCAAATAGATGCTGAGTTGTTATGGAAACTGTTGCAGGGTACGTTCTCTTCATGCAACAATCTTACAATCTAAAGTGTCTTTCTGTTCCGTAACATCCTTTTTTTTTAACCTGTTTGGCGCAAATGTGCATCTTCTCAGTCCGTGCTTTATTTTCGGTGTTTATTCTGCTTAAGTGAAGGGTAAAGTCACAGACGCTCCATCAAGGTAACACACTAATTGAGGGTAGTGAGAGGGAAAAAAGAATTGATTCTCTACTGGAAAATATAATAATGACCACCGACACAGAAGACTCTGAAACACAGAGTGTTTGTGTAGAAGGCTCTGCTTCACGTCTGTCACCTTGCCTGTGGCCTTTTGTACTGATGGATTTTTATTATTTTTCTTATCCAGGTGAAGGGCATTTAAGTCATGTAGGATTATATGTGATAGGTATTAGCAGGAATATGTAGGCCTTGTGGATTACAAATGCCACATTCAAGCCACTTTATATAATACATTTGCAGTGGCCTTGCCTTCAGGCGGCCTGCCTACTTAGTGTCGAGCCATCAAAGCTCCTCATGACAAGGGCCGAAAAGATAGTTCAGACTGGGGTCCAGGATTATCTCACACAAATCTTTGCACTTATATTGTATAAGCCAAGGACTCTGCATCCAAAGTCATCGGATTGGCTGTGTTCCCAGAAAACACACACTGTCAGAGACACAGAGGGAGAGAGTGACAGACAGAGAAAGAACGAAAGACAGATAATGTGTGAGCGGCAGAGAGGGATAGACCACAATGTGGCTGCCAATGAGTGTATAGAAATCCTTACTTCTTCTCCTGCCACGCCTCGCTCAGTAGAAGATTACCTCCTTTAATTCAATGCTGAAACTCCTGTCTTTTACCCTTTAAATTAAGCCGACTTCTTAAAAAATTGAACAAGGGCAACAGCTGAAAGACCTTGAATGAATATATTACTGGTACTTCTGTAATTCATCCTAATGATGAAAATGATCTGGGGCAGCAGTGAGAAACTGAGAGAGAGAGACCCCCTGCTGGAGTATCTCCTGTACCAGTTGATGGTGCACCTGGAATAACGTATATACCTGAAGACGGTGTCATAGGAGTAGCCACCAAGCCGTTGACATTGAAAGCTGCCATTTGCTGCATTTGCGCGGCAGCAATGGCCGCCATAGGGTTCAGGTAGGACCCTTGTGTTGCTGCCATCAGGGCTGCTTGCTGTTGCATCATCTGCTGTAGGATTAAAGAGCAGTGGGGAGAGAGGCGGATGGAAGGAAGGACAGAAAAGGAAAGGAGGGTGAAATAGCCGCGGGATCAGAACGTGTTTACCCTCATATCTCTGTTTGCTTGGCTCATGCCTTGTTCTTCAACAGAGCGAGCTTTTGTTGCCCTGCAGCTTTGCTGCTAAGCTACTCCACGACTGCTCTGGTCTTGTGCTCATTATACTGACATAGGATGAAGGGTGTGTGAGGATGAGTTTAGGATGCTGGAGTCCATGTATTTCTGTACGTTCCGTATAGGAAGAAAAGGGATGGTTAAAGAGGAAGAGTGTGTGTGAGTGGGCGATTCTCACCTGTCAGGTTGAGCTGTTAGCTACTGCGTGAGTGTAAAATCTCACAGATGCCAAACTCAGGCTGTGACTTTCATGTGTGAATATGAAATAAGGGTGGGGTGGGTTTAAAGAGGAAGAAGTAGGGGTGGGGGGGTGGGGGGGGCTTTTGGTAGTGACGTGCACCTCTTTTTCAGGAAAAAAGTGTGTTTAGGTGAAAATGTTCAAGAGGAAGGTCTGGGTCGGCAGTTTAATTTCACATACAAGTCAGGAAAATGGAAATGGAAATATGTGGAAGATGCTAGATGTTTGCAATATTGCTGGGGATTCATGATAAGCAGTTTCCCTGGACAAAGTAGAGGATAAGAAGACACAATAACAAACAAACTCCAGTAATTTTGAAATCTTACTAGCCATTTAAAAGTGAGAATCACTTTAGGGCTGTTCACTGGGAGAGTCACAAGCCTAGTGGGAGAGAGAGTGTGTTCAATCCTCAAATCACAACAATTTTTGTTTTCCTTTTTTTAAAGCTCACCGTCTCCTCCCCCGCCGGGCTGAGACTTACAGCATGAGAGTAGGCGCCATAGGCCCCAAACTGGATAGTCATGGGACTGAAGATTCCGAGCTGGCCTGCCATCTGGTGCATCCTGCGTAGGGTCCTCTCCTTATCTGTGTCTGCAAATTTGACCACCAGGCTGGACGAGGCACCCTACAGGGAAACGTATATTTTACAAGGTTAATGAAATATTTAACTTAACTGCCATATTGTAAGAGTTATACAGTTAGTGCATAAACCTAACAGTTGATTCACATGAAAATAATAAAGTAATCCAAGACTATATTCCTACTAGTATTAAATTACATTCCTAAATCAAAATTGTTAGATTTCTATTTCCTTAAAATGAACAGTCCATATGCAGTGGGTGTACAGGAGAACTGTCATATTACTTCCACACCATTCTGTAGAAAAATAATACTGTTTTTTACTGCTTTTACAGTGTTACCACAAACTTTGGGGCTAGTTAGCTATTTATGTAGCCAAAAGAAACATGAATTTCATAGTTTGTCATGCAGCAGCACAACCCCTCTATCCCTGCCCCATCTCTTTTTCTGATAATTACAGGTGACATTCAGTCAGTGAGAAAGAATCATGAAAGCACTTAAAGGAGATTCTGAGCCTGCCGAAAAAGTGTCTGGTGGTTTAAAAGACTTGATAAACTCTCTAGCTGACTCATTTTAAAGTCTGCAAGAGGTTGCATGCTGATTTATTAAGTGTAATAGTTGTTTATTATTGGTTATCGCATTCATTATAACCTTTTGATTGGAACTTTCTTGAGTTTTCTCAGGTCATGGATATACAATCACTTCCCATGTCATAATCACAGACCCACAAATGTCAAATACTACATTACACGCATGCTGTAAGGTCCGCAGTTACAGAACTTGCTCATGTGAGTGTGGAGTTGACATTTTTTACAAAGAATAGGGGAAACAACAACCAAATTACTTCTCTTCTGTAACAGTACTTTAACCAAAGATATGAGTGTGAACTTTCCTTGTGACTGAAGAAGAGGCTGAGTGGTAATTACATATCTAATTTATCCAGGGAAATTTACAATCCTTATTTAGACTTAATATCTACAAAACCAAGATAGCCACGATGCACCTTTCTTGACTTCAGTCATTTAGCTGTGAGCATTAAATGAGATAAAAGTGAGTGATATTTGCTTTTGTGAAGTTTCCAACTCCACTGTATACACTGAGGGGTGAACTGTGATCCTAACCAGATCCCACAGGAGTCCCACTCCCTCTCTGGTAAAGCTTCACTGAATACAGCGCTGGGTAATTAGGTCTGACAAAAGCCGTTGGCATGAGGAGGGAGAAGTATTGACTAATGGCTCTTCCTTATGGCAGATATAGTTCCGTATTGATGTCCGCGTTCCTAAGTTTGCATCCAATTAAATAATTTGAGAGACCAGAGTCCATTCCTCATGTGACATCCTGACAAAGAGAGGGAGGTGGATTGTCTGTGCGTGAGTGGGAGATATACAGAAAGAATGAGAGAGGATGAGGAGTCTCAGGCACAAACATCAACTATGGACACTGTCAAAAAGACCAGGCTGCTATTTATTTACAGGCTGTGCATGTTTGAAAAGAGTACCAAGTACCGATACGACAGAAGGACAGAAACTGCCAGGGGCCAGTTTGGATATGATTAGTCAGATCATAAAAGCAAAGACACAGGGAAAGAAGGACTCACTAATCACAACTTGGAATCATTGTTCACAAAATCTCTCATCCTAACAGGATCAGTGTGACTGCAGGACTTGATTCTAATTTCTGTATTTTCTTGATGTGTAGAAATTAAAAATGTCTGAGAACTGCAGGGCACACGTTGGCTGGCTAAGGCTGACCAGTGGGAGGGATGCTGCTTTAATCTTCTTCTTGAGGAGGATTGTTTGTGATTCTCTGTATCAGAAAATGAAGTGCACTAAGACATTAAAAATTTTTACAAGACCAAATTTAAGCTTGAGTCACTAGTTACAGATGCTAGTTTACTAAAGCTAACATATTCAACCAAAAGCAATATAAAGACGTAAACTTGAAAAGAGGAATTATAAATGTGATCCACTCTGGACCAGATGTTTGGTTGTATTAAAGTGTTCAAGTCATCAATGCGCAAGAAAGTAATTCTTGTTTAGAATTTTTGCAAATAACCAATGTCAAATGCCTCTTATATACAATCAATTACCACAACCCAGAAAATGTGTTGGTTATAGATATGTATAAATCAAATAAGTCTGAACCTCAGGGAATATATGTCTCAGATGGGAACCTATCAGAACTAGCCAGCACCTGACCTCGGGCAGGAGGAGACACATCTGGCACTTCTCCCTTGGTTCCATTTCAATTAGCTAAATCAATACTCCGATATGGCGCCATTAACGGCCCCATTTTTCCTTTTTTAATTTGATTTCATTCCCCCTTCTGACCTTTTTTCTTATTCTTTGTCAACTTTGTGGGCTAGCTGAAGAGACCGGGCTGTTGGATTTAATGAGGCTGGCACTGAGCAAACATCTTCCTCCAGGTTTGTTGCTTAAATGCACAGCAGCCTGGCATTTAGATTTGCTCACATTCTGCTTTGTGTATCTGTGTACATTTCTATATTCATTTAAAACATCACAAAGAATGCATTGTGAGCCTCGTGACTATGAGAGCCAGAGGCTGTCTGTAGTCACTTCACCGTGACTCAAGATTAGCCGAGTCTGGCCTGGTCTGGTTTCTCCCAGCAAAGTGCTCTGGCTCAGACAGCAGCACAGGAGGAGACCCTCTCTGCAGCGTCTCCACTGAATGCTTTTGGCAGCAACTTTAAAACAGAGCGACAGCCTCTGCAGGTGTTGACAGCAGTGAAACTCATGTCAGCAACAAACATTTCTGACGATCATCGCATAAGAGATATCTCTTAAAAACGGCTCCTCATCTCTTTACAGAAGAATTCCATGTCCCCACATCTACAGACAAGACCAGATGGAAGTTCTAATCAGACAAGGACACAATAGTTTGAGCTTCGGTACAGGCCAACAAAAGTATGTGGCCAGATAATGACTGTGGTGGCAAACAACAAGTACTGGATGCAAAGCAGATCCTCTTCACTGGCTACAGAAAATCACTAGCTGACAAACAAACAAAATAATAACCTCCAACAGCATGACTCCTATTCCTGGAGAGAAAATGAATTTGCCGAATTTGATAAGGGCCAACAGGGGAGCCGTCACTTTTGACAGGTACAACTAAGGAATTTGTCACAGGTTCAAAAACTAATCGAATTTCTTGAACAACACACTTGACTTTTGAAAATCTCCCTTATTGGATTTTGTATAGAGCTCAAAAATGTGTAGATGGGAGAAGGCACAATGGTAATTGAGGGATTAGAGCACATATACAGCAGTGAAATGACATAATGCTTTTATCTCCGTATTACTGTGATAGAAAGACACTGTCGTGGAGCGTCTACCAACAAGTAAACAGACGCTTAGTTTCTGTCCTCTACAGAGGCTTACTACACTACCCCATAACCGGATGTCCTATAAGCCTTTAAGCAAAACTGTGGGAGATACTTTTAAAGTTATATCAACATTTTCTCATGAAAAGTATTTCTCATGAAAAACTTAGATGTGGGCCCACCTTTCTGTTTATTCAAGTAGGATTTGTCAATGTTACAAACTTTCCTCAACCATCTTCTTTCCAGTGGCGGGTAGCGCCTAGGCTGAGTTCTTACCATGAGCAAAACCAATGGATTCCTTCCTTGGACTACCTCACAACTCATAAAACATAGCTATACAGCTTAACCTCTCAACTAGTCAGCATTGGTACTCATGCACACTGTCTGACCTCACCCTTCTGAGACTGTGGATGATTGATGAAATCGAAATTTCCAGCTACATCACTGATGGTTGATTTAGATCATGCTCGTCTTGTAACACCATGAATGTGTTAAGAAGGTTAAAAGCTTGACTTTTAGATGAAAAGGAATTTAAATAACAAATGAAGCTTACCCAACTGTCTTGCCTCATTACTGACTGAAGAAACGAAAATGATCATTTAAAGTCTTTTTCTAAAAATTAAGTGAATAGATCATCAGTTTGTTTGTTAATTGGCTGAACTTGCTGACTCCTCTCTGAACCCTTCTGTGTCTGCATCTTTTAGGAGGATTGTCTCTCATTAGCAGCGGAAAACAAAGACTTGGTGTAGCCTCCCTTTCTATCATACGATGTCTGGCGGCATCTTCTCCCACAATAAATCATAACAAAAGACATGTGGAAACATATATATGTATACATGTTCCCACGTGTCTTTATATTAATGTATATATATCCATGAATACCAGTTTTCACCTCAATACACGAGGCGCACCAAAATAAATTGTTATTCATTAATTAAAGTACAAGGCTGATGAGATCTTGCATCATTTGATTAACTATGTTTTGCACTGACAGTGCTCTCTGGCTTGGTCTTATCTCTCATTAATCCACAGCTATAGCATCACAAACAAGCATACTCTTGTTGCTGCCAACATCCAAAAACTCCACAGGCCCTGTCAGCCACGCTGTGACACAAAACATGACAATGTCTGCAATTTGCTGGGTGTTGTGTGCATGCCCCTGGCTTTGCCATTTGAAATGTTGCCACCTGTGCCTCTGCAGCCTTACAGTAATTCAACAGCTAAACCGGTGAGAGTGTGTGCTCAATCACCTTTTAAGTTAATTTTGGAAGCACCTGCAATCTGCAATAAACATCAATTTAACCTGTGACCTCATCCAACAGCACATGCCTTTTGGTGACACCCCGTGCCCTTAAGCTTCATTAAACCTTTTATTGTGAGCCGGTAAGTTTTGGTTCAGGTATTATTTATGGCATGCATGTGTGTGTACCTATATAGGTGTTTTTGCGTGTAGGTGTGTGTGTGTGTGTGTGTCAGGTAACACAGATGCTGCTGAAAGAGCATTAAGAGGAAAAAAAAAAGACAGTGAAAGACAAGTCTTTGTTCAGGGTTCATTCAGACCGCACAGCTGGCAGCAGGCACTGTGCAGAGCAGCCCACTCTCTGAATCCTGCCTCCTGTTAGTCTGTTCTTGACGACATGTGGTAGAGATATTATCCAAATTAACTGCATCCCCCATCGGTACCAAAGCTTTAGTTGGATACTAATGGCCACCTTGCCTATTAATCTGAGAGGAAGTTGGATTTGGGGAGAAGCGGATAACAGGTGCAGGGATAAAGGGAGAGAGCTATGGTTAATATAGATTATTAATGAACTTTTGGCTCTCTCTTGATCCACCCTCGATCTCTTTGGAGCTCCATATGTTGCCTTGGACAGTTCATCTGCTGCAGACCTCAGGTGGCTTAGTGGACTGACCTAACACAACCACGTCTGAGAAAGTAGACATACAATATACACAAAGTGCACAGAAGGAGGAGGGATGATAAAAATACCCTATGTAATAAATCAAGTCACAGACTCATAAGTAAGTTATATAAATATGTTGGATGCAAACATATTCTTTGCGTTGGGCAACAAGGTATTTTTAGGAGCGGTAGAATATCCTGATTCCACTCATATTTTGGTGAGAGGCCTGTCATAATTGTGCCAGATCAGAGTGCTGTATGATTATTCCTTGGCTCATCATCCACTTCTTATTAAATTTTGGCCCTTGTGATTCACTTGCCAAGAAAGTTTGGCGTCTGCTGTACACAACAAACACACTCAGTAAACTGTCTCTACCACTTATTTCTCCCCCTCACTACTTCAATGCAATGCAAAATGTGGCGGCATCAAAAAGATGTGTAAATTACATCTGGCTTCCAGGACACTATCTGGCTGCCAGGAAGCATCCGTAAATATTTATTGTGGAACATCACTGAAGTGTGCATCTTCATGCGGATGCTTGCCAGAAAGAGTAGGTGCTCATATGTGTGTCCAGCTGTGTGGTACTCAACACACACCCAGCACTGGCAGCAAGATGCTTGGTAAATCCTAGTTTCTTTTGAAGACATTAACACTAAAGTTTCTGTGGCCTTCATTATACCAACAAAAGAATCCTAATTCATAATGAACTGTCGGTTGAAAAGAGAAGTAGGCACCCTCTTTACTAACAAAAAGAAAAATCAGCATACACTGCTGCTATTTCACACATCTCCTAACCTTTGTATGTCAACTATATAAGGTGTGTTGACATAACCAAATAAAAGCACAGTTTTATATCTAAAATTGATAGAATTCCCATGAATCACAATTGGTCAAAGTGAAAATATATCCATGAATACATGCTCACTCTTTGGTGTTTTTAATTTTGACTTACTAGTTAACCTCCCCTCGTGTCTGTAATGAAGCTTCTCTTGATAAGCATTTTCAGTGTTTTTAAATGTTTAATGTTCTTCAGCAGTAGCCCTGTGGCAGAGGCCAGACTGTCACAGGTAATAGTTTAGCTTTGATAAGATATTTCAAAGATTTCACCCCTGATGCTGAGAGAAAGTTTGACTTTTGTGAAGCCCTTTACTTGCTATGTCCTCATTAAAAACTATTCAGCTGTGCTTAATTGTCAGTCTTTTACACCATAATGTGTGGTTGAATGTATTTTTAGAATGTGCAGAGTGTTATTCCCTACAAAAATGTTCCCCTCAGCAGTCCATCATATGACCTACGCAAATATAGACAGCTATTTATGCTCTAACTTATACCAACAGTCAGTTCGGAACTATCAGTAAATGTACAATGGTTCACCATATAAGAAGAAACCATGTCATTAAGAAAATCACAGCATGCACAGAGGAAATATTCAAACTTCATATCAACAAACATTAAATGTTCCAACCAGTAACTCAGGATGCTGTGAGAAAACTGTGCCACAATCAGAGGACAGAAAATGTGTGAATACATTTTTAATTTAACTGTGTCCGGAAATCTTTGCACTATAATTATCAGTATCAGCATTAGCCTTTAATATCCATCATTGGTTGGGCCCCAATTTAAATGCCAGGTAATATTTAATTCATACTCAACAGGTGGCAAGAATGAGGTGTACAATAGATAGCAATTTACTTCAGAGTGCAGAAGCGTTGAAATTAATAACTAACACAGTATATCAACAGTATGAGCTAAATCCTTTCCCTGGCTTTGTTTTTCTCCCCCATGTATGGCTGAGGTGAACAAATTACTATTTCCTACAGGAATGATCATGTGTGGCCATCGGCCACTTTCTGATGTGGACACAGTTTTAATGTCACTTCATATAAAGTTATATTTGTTTATTATGCAACTTTGTTTCCATTTTATATTTGTTGTAGTTTATGTTTGTTCTATAAATGACTGAAGTTGTGTTAATTTTCTAGAATTGGCTCAATTTTTTGCAAATATTCAATGACAAAATGGAATGTGTACGATAAGCATACTGTGTGCTAATGAGGTTGAATGAATCGGAGGACAGGGAAACAGATATTGAGTGAAAAGATACAGTATACTGAGTATCCAGCTGTGCACATTACGGTAGGGGATGATGTCTGTTAGATGTTTGTCTGCAATAACACAATGTGAGAATGTCTTTGAATATCATCATATGATTTGAGTCTGAGTGTCTGAATTTCTTGTAAATAGCATGTATCTTGTTAACATGCTGCATGTTACTGGTCTGAGTATCAAAATTCAGAAGCCAGACTGCCTTGGACCCGAATCTGGCACCACATTTATATATATTTTGCCCTTAGTTTATTTTATTAGCGAAACAGGGAAATTTATTCAAAGACTACATCTGAAACAACTTTTGAGCTGCAATTAGGAGCATGTTTGTTTTGTAAAAAGGCTCAATTTGAACTGAAAATTAGTGTCTATCTGCATTAAAGGTTTTGTTTCACAACATAATTTTGAAAAGAGCAATGAAAGCTGTTTGTTTTTATTCAATAGTATATCTTCATTTTGATTTTATAGCACAATTCTTGTGCTATTTATATATGTATGTATTTATGTCCCTAAAAATGCCTGCAAACGGCTCTAACTTTATTATAATAGGTACTTTACACATGACCGAACCTGTGTATGGCATTTGAACACAATCAAACCTTTGTGCAATGCTGTGATGAATCATTATATTTTCACACTGGACTCATTTCTTGTCCTTAGTACTTTATGTGAATAGCTTTTGATAAGCAACTGCATACACAAGTTTAATTGAATACTTGCTTTTTCCATCCCTGAGTGATACCGCAGCCACACATCTTTTGCAATTATGCAAATTATTTACTGATGTGTGCTGTGTGTAAACTCTGTGCAGTCCTACTGGGCCTGTGACTGTTTCAGAGCAAGTAAGGTAATGTTCACAACAATGCACTTTAATGTGGGTGGGTTTTAGGGTATTTCTCCAGTGTCAACACAAGTGAAATGCAAAACTGCACTGGACTAGGAGATTTAAGCCCCGGGCTTCATGCTACCTGCGAGCTTGATTGGAGCGGTAGCTTGTAGTGGACCAGCTGTGTAAACTTGGATACTGCAGTTCAAGAAACTGAATGATAAGTAAGAGACTATTCTCCTCTTCAAAACAGACCTATGACTTGTGTGTTCATATAGGCAGTGTTTTTGACTGAAAATAACCTGGGAGAGTCACAAATGTCTTAGAAAAGTTTTGTGACTAACAACATTTTTACTGCTGTAAATCACCCAGGGCATATTGCTTAAAGTCCTGCTCATAGTTTTGTCATCCACCACCCCCTCCGTCTTTACGAGGGCTGAGAAACTTGACGATGATGCGTACTCTAATGTGCCAGAGCAGCTATGAGTCATATTTCCCTCTTCCTGTCACTAGAAGTGACTGTACTTTGCAGAATATTGTCATGAAATGATTTTAAAGGAAGGAAACAACAACCTATATAACAGTTTAGCCTAACATTTCTCTAAAGATGGCTGGCTCCAAGCTTGGAACTGCTCTGGAGCCCTTGAAGCTTTTTGTGAAAAGAGGAATGACACACAATATGATATGAAATCTCAGTTCTATTGGTCAATCATATTCTAATGCAACAAACTTATTTCCATTTCAATTACAAAAAGAACAGGGCATTTAATTCAGTTTAACTGTATGTTAAACTGAATGTTGTATGTTGCTTTGACGTGTAGAAGAAAAATAAACAGGCAGCCAGCTGGCTCAGTAACACCACATTCTTTGAAAAGCTTACTACAAAACTAGACCCAACTGATTAGAATTAATGACAGAACAGGCATGACCGCCGTACTTACAGGCATTGTTTGCCCACCATGCAGGCTGCTGATGGCTGCTTGCGCTTCTGCGTGGCTGGAAAACTTGACAAATGCACAGCCTGTAAACACGGAGAAAGAGAGGGGCAAATCAACAAGATGGCTGTGAATATCTGGGGGAAATACCATTCATTACCATTCATTGTTTTTGGGCTATCTGGTTTGTAAATATATTCTGCTATTTGTGTGTTGAGTGCATAATTTGCAGTAAATCATTCTGATTATATGGGAGGCGTTAGCTGCTTGGAACACCCCGCTCCCTGCCTATTTCTAATTTGACCCTCTTTACTCAAGAGTATGAAGCCACGGCATTCACTATCCTCACTTGTTTGTGATTATTAGGCTGTTTAATATTTACACACTGTGATTTGTGCGCAGTCACTCATAAAACAGATTATAATGGCAAAGGCATCACATTCTGATCTGCCCATCTAACCAAATCGTTTCTCTTGCATATCATTTCAGATAGGGATAAATTTAAAAAAGGAAACTTAAATCAGTTTAAGTTTGCTGAGTTGTTATCCAACTAAAGGAAAAAACGATGATGGCCAGAAGACAGAAGAGCCGGCACTGACTACATTATTCTTGAGTCATATTAGATTAACAATTCAAATTAACTTAAAAAAGGCCAATTTGCCAAGTATATGTACTGTGAGTTTGGAATAAACATACTAGGGTCATATCATCCAGTGTATCAGTGTGTAGGTAAGAACAGGAACTAACCATGAATAGAACGCTTGTGACCTGAAATGCAGTAGTTGGATTTGTAATGTGGTAATTTTCCAAAAGCCATTAAATTAAAACAAGAGCTATTTCTCCAAGCTTTGTGGTTGTCATAGACTTCACAGGGTATTCTGTTATGTCCTATTCTTATCTTTGCCTTCAGGTATCTCATGTGTTAAGTCAAGAGATATCTCATTAACAAACTCAGGGATTAATTCTGCGCTCTTCTCATTAATTGAATAATACCAGTGACTTTGAATAAGACTGGCTTTTCCAAAGTTTCCTTTCCTTGTTTCCTTATGAACTCTTTATGCCTATTACTATTCTATAATTTGCTTCCGTTCTACACAAGCAAACTAATAATTCTCTGACAAAACCGAGATTTTTTAAGAGAGGACAGTGCAACATCTGTGCTTTTAATATAAAAGACAGTTTCTATATTTACTCATGACCCTGCATTCACATTCAAGTCACTTCATAAAAGGCTAGCATTCTTAATTCTGGTGGTGAAAGCCATGTGTTTTCTGTACTGTTTAACACAATCAAAGCTGTATAGATCTGCAGAGGCAAACACACAGAGTCAAAGAAGCCTTTGATTGTGTCACAGCACTCCAGCACCCTTTTACTTGACTTGGACGTCCCTCTGGGTAGGAAAGGTCTTCATTTGTCCAGCTGAAATGCATCCGACTGCAGCTCTTTTTTTGAAGGAGCAAACATATCTAACCTTTGTAGCAGAAATAATAAAAGGGGAGTTTGATTTTGGAGAATCCATTTGACTTTTTAAGACAAAGTCACGCACTATGTAGCTTTAGAGTGCTATCGTATTTTACACCACTCTCTTAGCCCAAAGAGAGCAGAAACCCATAATTTCAAGGCTAGGCTTACTCACGCTCATGTTGAACATGGAATGTTTTGATAATTCTTGGTGAGAAATCTGCACAAGCGTCTTATTTTGCAGACCAGAAAAGAAGTTAAGGGACAAAGAGCACAGCTTTGAAAAAGAACTGGAAGTGCTACAGCCTCATGCATTATATTGCACTTGTGAGTGTTTGAGTTTGATGGCTCAGAATGAGTTGGGAAAAGGAAAAAAAAAGTGATATCGTATTGCTCTGAACGACAGGATCAGCACTGCCTTTTGAAATCCCGGGGTAATAATATGTATGCATGAATTCCATCCCTCTGGATGGGTGACATTTATAACACAACTTAATTATAGACCTGAAAGCCATCTCTCTATTATTCCTGACAATTCGGTGGCTCTATTCAACTCTGGCAGCAAGTGTTGCACTTTGAAAGTACTTTGAGGAGCAGTGCCATAGAGAGATGGATGTTAAACTTCTCGGCCTTTTTATTGGGTGAAGAGGGGTGCTGAAAAGCCTCTGAGTAGCATAAATTTACATCAACAGGGGACAAAGCCTCAACCATGGAACAGATAGCACTGTCAATTTCAAGGTCTGTCTCATTCAAATTACGGGAACCTCATCCCAAGCGAGGCGGCTGGCAAAATAATTTGCCGTAACATCCCGTAATGATTGCGTGGGACTGTTGCACTGGGAGAGATAGAACCAGATACCTATATATGAGACCTTTGTCTGGTTATGGCAAGCTAACATTCTTCTACAGTTTTATTTTTTTCATTTGCTAGTGGTGGAACCTGAAGAAAAGAGAACAATCAAAACAGTAATAATACAGACAAATACCAAACAATGCAATGTTTCACAGGTGATGAGTTATGGAATGAGGAGAAGGCATGAATATAAGTGAGAACTTGCTCCTGTTTAATACAACAGCATGAGCTTTATTTCATATGGGATGTCAATCAGCTTGAAGCATCTGGGCAGACAGTAAAAGGAAGAAGCTGAAAAAGAGAGACGGGAAAAGAAGGAAAAAAGCCATGGAAGTAGTGGGCCGAAGGGGCGACATGGAGTAAAACCCCTGATTTAACAAGGAGCAGGGCAGATGTAGACGCAGATAGGTGTGTGGTTCACTATAGCGAAGCTTTCTTTTGAATAGTCTCCAAAGGATTTGCAACATTGCACATTATCATCTCTGTCTCTTGTCTTCTACACAGCCCTCTCAAATGATCAGAAGCTGCACATAGAACAATAAATCATAGTCAACAGAGAGAAAAATGGGCTGCAGGTTCAGAATAATATTGTGGGAATTTTTATTCCAAATGTGGCTGAGAGTGAGAAAGGAACACATAAAAGGATGATCCAGAGCCGTTTTTTACTCTCAGAACAGTCCCACCTAAATCACACATACTGCAGCCATCTTTAATTCCACCACACTTTATTAACCAAATAGCACATAAGCCACAGACAAGTATGCATGAGCTCTGACAGTGAGTGAGTGTCAGCCGCAACCCCCAGACTCTGCCAGCTTTATTTACAGTAGGACATTATTGTCCAATAGTGTCTCTTGGGAAGGATGATGGGAATGTGGGAAACAAACACAATTACACCTCTCCGCTATGAGATAACAGGAAGCGGGGGGTTGGAAAGGGACTGGAAGGGGGGTTGTGAGTAAAAAAACCCAGGGTGAGAGGAGCTGCTGCGATGAAGAGACAATGCAGGAGAAAGAACGAACAGGAGAGGAGTAAGCAATGGGGTGAGAACAAAGAAGTGAAAAAAGGAAAGTGGGCGGAAGGAGGTGTCGGGCCAATGTGACAATGTGGTATGAGAGAAAAACAAGTGTGACACGTAAGAGGCAGCAGGAAAAAAAAAAAAAAAGAGAACAGCTCAAGGGGAAGATGAGTTATTCAGAGCAGAGAGCATCATAGACAATGTCAATGAGAGCATCCCGGGCGAAGCATGGCTCTAAAATGTAAAGAGCAAAAACAGCACAAGACTTAAGAGACACAGACTGGGACGGGAAGAGTGGGAGATGTTTGCGCTCTGACCCTTACTGGCCCCATCAGGCCCTCGAAGGACGGTGCATTCCTCGATCTGGCCGAAGGTCTCGAACAGCCGTCGGACATCGTCCTCACTCTGCTGTTTGCCAAGCATTCCCACAAACAGCTTCCTGTCTTCTGGATTAGAAGAGAACGAGTGGGAGGAGACAAAAGAGAAGAAATAAATGCTTGCGATGAGGGCACCATCTTGCAGAACAAAGGGAAAAACTTGTGCAAATCATAACCCCCAACCCTCCTTTTTATCAGTAGTCGGCTATGTTGTTACTGCTGTTGCAGTTGTTGATCTTACTGCCGCTGTGTTACATCCTCTCCTGGTATGAGGGTGATATATTCCTGGATCCAGTGAGCTATTCAAATCTGCTACAGCGATATTTGATACAGATAAGGTTAGGAGCTGTTGGTTTCAGGTAAAGGCAGAAGGGCTACATTTTTGCTCTGGTTGAAAGATTGTTTGATCATCTGAAAGCGAACACGGGAAAGAGCATGTGCATTTTTTCATCACCAACATAGCATACATCATAATAAATAAAAGTAAACTCTGGGAAAGTTGAGGAGCGGTAAATATCAGGAGTTTAATGTTTTTCTGAATGTAGTGGGTTCATCATTGACAGGCAGTGTAGCTGTTTTCCTTTGTTTTAGATCCACTTAAATTTCTTTTGCATCTGGGACTTTTTTTTCTAGCTTTTTTAAGGGAAACAAACTTATATCCAACAAATAATAGAATTTAATAGATTTACAAAGTACAATGGAATGTGAAATTATCTATCTTGTAGTGTTACATCATGTTGCATGCATTATGTGCAATGGAATGTTATTTCCACCTTCTTTTCTCTTTAACCACTGTGATGGAAAAATATCTATCAAAAAAGTATAGCAAAAACATATTTTTACCATGACAGCCATTGTTAAAAGTAATTTTTGCTCAAAATAAATTAGTGCTTAGTTTTATAGCTATCAACCTATTTAACGTTTTGTACTAGTTTTCTGCTAATGGATGTCAAATCAGATATCAGTTAAAATATCAAACTCTTCTACTTTCAAAAACCTCTTACAAAGACATACTGAGGAGCAAAACCCTCAATTCAAATCCCAAATCTTTTGATTCACAAATTTCCCCTTCAGCTGGTCAAAAGTGACTGTTGAAGAAAGAAAAGAATAAGCAAATCTAAGTTGGAATTTTTAATTGGTTACTCAAATAAACTTGATTGGACCTTTCTGTTAAAAATTTGCAAAAACAAGCAGTTTTTACATTGCATGCAAAGCTGCTGTCTCAATAGAATTACAGGTCTTCATGTTTACAGGATAAAAATCAGACCTCCCTGAATTAAAAAAGGATAAAAAACTACACACACACACACACACACACACAAAAAGAACATCAGGAGTATTAAATATGGATCACAAAACTGATAAGGTTATGTTTGGACTTTCAAGTGACTTTTTTTAAAAGTTAAAGCTCAGTGATAAAAGTGTGAAAATAAGAGAGGAATCCCAGTTACAATAGCACTTGATTGTAGAAGAATTTGACACCTTAAAAATCAATGAGAACCAGCTTTTCCTTTTTTTTTTTAAGAAGTACTAAGCTTGAGCAAAATTTGCAGAGCCACTTATGATTATATTTGAACGGCAATTCTATCTTCACAAATCTCCCAACGACAACTCTGTGTCCTTGTCCTTCACGAGCACCATAAGGGGGCTCTCATACTCAAATGTATGGGCTCTATACTACAACATTTTCGAAAGTCAGGGAGGTGGATTTTTTCTAATTAATCTTCCCATTGCCCTGGTATTAGACAGAACATTAATCTTCTTTACATCTTTTACATTATGCATCTGCTATTCCTCTGTGTTGTGGAATGAAATGGCTACTAGCAAGAACCTATCCCTGGGACTGATGGAAAGTGGCAGGAAGAGGAAGACAAGTTTATTGGAAATGACACTGTTGATCTTCAGTGTGAGTCATTTGACTGGTAGGGAGCGGGCGAGGAGTAGGGAGGAGCGGAAGGCAAGAGCATCACCTGGGCCTCGACAGATGTGACGCCTCCTGTACCTGCCAGGCCCCATTAGACGCAGCTGTTCTAAAAATAAAGCGCCAGGGCTTACTTATTGCAGCGGGGAAATCGGATTCTGTTCTCTTCCTGTAAAGTTCAGATGAAACACGTGCCTACTACTCGCTTGGCCACACAAATGAACACCTGCATAATCAATAAGGGCACGCTGCCTGGCCTCCAGTGCAGGTGTTGGGATATAGTCGGTCAATGTTCTTGTAGTTTTGCCTCCCATGGCAAAATTTCGTAAACCCGCCGACTGAGCACAACACTGACACAGATCTGGGGTCTGAAAAGGCTTTGGGAGATGACTATAGACACAGATCTTGATGTTGGGGAAAAAAAAAATCTAGAATATAGCGTCAGTGGCAAACTGTGGAACTATGAGCTGGGCAGGTAGTAGAAAGAAGTAAACTTAATCTGCTTCTGTGGTATCCAAGGTGAAGGGATGTAAGAGCTCCCATAGATCACGTTTGACTTTGCTTTGATTGTTCTCTCTATCTTTTGGGTTTCGACTGAGGTGTCAACATTACAACTTATATGGGCAAAGTGCAGCTTTACAGGCCTTCTGCACTGTGTTAATGTTTTGGGACAAAAGTCTCATCTCAGTCCTGGCCTGAAGAGATCTAATGGCAGCTTTACAAGGCTAATTAACAAGCCATGAGCGAGGTAATGAACTTTCCAAATGCGCTGGCAAACGCAAAAATAAATCACACCCCAGTGAAGGTATTAAAGGAAGTGTGAGTGTACTTGTGAGCCTTCCTTTGGGAGAGCCACAGCAAGAAAATGAATTTGGAGCTGCTATCTTTTCATTGCCTGACCTTAGAGTGTCTCAGTCGGCCCACTGCATGCCCCAGCCAGTGTATAGATTGCTATTAATTAGTCCACTTTGCACCTGTCTCCCAAGAAGCTCTTATTGGATTCACTCATTTCCTATGGCCACTCACATGCGTTAGATTCGCATTTATGAAAAAACATCCTTTAATTCACCATCTTTACAAGGGAAGGATTCTCTGACTCCAAACATATCCAATGATGGGCATAAAGTCATGCATTTCCATCAAGAGGAGTGAGGACCTTTCCATGCAACACATTCAGAAATCAGAAGTATGACAAAAATCATTGAGCTGACTGTGTGACCTCTTTGTACTTATCTTTCATTGAGAGGGGCTCATTTCATCGCTCTAAGAGAGTTGATCCTCAGAGCTGTAGAACATTTGAGCTTTACAGCACTTTCCTACTCTTCTCTGAAGAGACCTATGTGATCTGCTCTTCAAATATTTCCTCTGCTGGGGAAAAATGTGTGAACTAATAGGAACCCTTGCTGTTTTTTGTTCAAACATTCAAACTCAATTTGAGAAGCATGTATAGCTGCTAATATCCCTGCTATATGACTTAAAACAGTAATGCCACATTAAAAGATACAGGGGTGTATCATATTCCCTGCCAGAACATGCTTTCACATCATCCATAAAAAAAAAGATATGCCTTAAGAGTATGCCAAGAGTCTGTTGATAGTAAAATACTGAAGTTCTATTTCAGTCACCAGCCGGTGCGCATTCCTATACTCTGTCATCCACCCATCCGCTTTTTTTCACTGCCTCATCTCCGGGCTGAAGGTGCGAGCAATTGTGTGGAAAATGGTTTCATGTCAGTCTCTGGCCATGTCCAAACTGAGGTGGCATGTGGACAGCCCCGTTTTATGAATGCAAATAAAGTGGGAGATCAAAAAAGTTATCAAAACACAACTGACATCTGACAATTGCTTGTCTCAGGAAGCCTTTTCATTTCATCGCCCGGTATATTAAAAATTAATGGATTTTGCACAGATGCCATATGCTGTCAAGATTGATGCTTCTCTCTCTGGAATAAAGTGCTACTTGTGTTGTAGGTTGCAGTATATTCATATAGATTGTGCGTTTCTTTTCCTCTTTTGTCTCCCTGTTGCTCTCTGCACATCTCCTTTACCCTTTATTGTCATTCCTCACCCTTCCCTGTCTCTCCAGGCAAAAAAATCAGTTGCTGTGAAGTCTACTTTTCAAAAGTTTCAGTTGCTGTTTGCCAACAATGGTATTATTATCTTTAAAAAATGTATTCTCCTGTTACGCTGTAGTGGTAAATATTCCTTTTTTATTTTTATTCAGTGGCTCTATCCCTTTTTACCCACTGGCAGTATAGTCAGGGAAGCTTGGTGGTAGTAAGTGTTCAAAAACCATAGACAGCTGCATCCAACGATAAAAGATGCATACTAGACCGCTGGGTGCATTTCAAATGCAGAGTAATGTTCCAGGCAGCACAACAAAGAAGTTGTGCTTCTTATGGACTCATTAGAAAAGCCTGATGATGGTACACTGCTGCCTGGGAGGCCTGCCACCAGACACGCTCACACGTGTAGGCGTACTGACTGGGAGCACAAAATGTTTGGAAGGACTGCTTAATATTGAGTTAGACTGTTTTTTTAATCATCTAGACTATTTTATTTTTTGTTTTTTGCCTTTGGAAGTTTGTTCAGAACCGGTGGTGTCATTTTTTATCAGGGTGAACTGTTTTCTTTCTGGATAATGAGTATTACATATTTACAAAGTATTAATCAAAATCTGGGATGGACACTTACTGATGGTAAAAAACACCACCAAGCATAATCAGGTGGAGAAGCGATGTGAGACCTTAACCACAATATTTTCAATTGGCTGTATACGTACAGACAGCCAGCAACAATTTTGGCTTAATTGCTCAACAACAGGTTGCACATTAATTGATGTCATATCAAATTTGGTGTCACTGTAGTGCACTGTGAGTGTTTTCCATGTCCAACATTACAACATTTTTACATATTAGTTCAATAAGATGGGGGATATTCAACTGGATGATGCTCTCTTAAGTGCTGGTCTGATAAACTTTCAGGTAATTTTTTTTTTCTCAAGCTGTAACCTTAGGGTCGCCCTGACTCACAGCTAATAGTTTTAATGTTAAGATTGTCTGCATGCTTTCGATTGTACTGATATCAAACCCTGTATGTAGCTGAGCCTCATTTGTTGGTTACCACACTTGCCAGTCAGGCTAAAGATAGTTCTGGTCATACGTTGAATAATCTGCGCTTTCTTAATATAAGCAGTGTAAAGTGTGAAACATACTAGATATTAATTATGACAGTGGGTGCTTACAGTGGTTGTCCATTCTTTGTTGAGATTATTGTTTGTCCACAGTGTCAAAATGTAACTCCTTGTTTCCACTTATTTATCCATTTGGTTCGTAGTGTGAGAATTATTCACAGAAGACTCACACTATACTTAACTATTTATTCTCATTTAGGTTCAAACTAAGTAACAGAACTAATTGGCCGCATCCAAGTGTCGATACTAGTGATTCATACTCAAAATCTTATGCTGCAGTCCATATCTGATGCGTACAACTGGATTATCAGGAATAACTAAGTGATAAATGCAATAATCAGAGGAGATAAATTTTTTTTTTATTTATTGGGTTGGGAGTCGAGAGGATGCAGTTAAAAGATTATGCTTATATATTTTTTTTTTAAATCTGGATTTACAAAAAAATAAAAAGGGAACAATATATACATATATATGTGTGTATATACTGCCTTCCAATAAATTTAGCCGCAAATACAACCAACAGGGTTCATCTTGATTTTTCAGAGTTTCAAACAATCGTGTCCACCGGCACAGAGGGATCTCTTGGCTTCATTTGCATGTAAAGTGGTGCGCTCTCCTCTGCGGGTGCGTCTGCCCCCAGACAGCCCCTCCCCTATGGCCTGCCAGTCTGAGCCAGCCAGCAGCCTTCACTCTTCCCTACCTGCTGGGGTATGGCATGACAGCACACTGCATAACATCTTAAGGTCCTGTCAATCTCTTCACTGCCCAACTGAGGTCAGCCTTAAGAAGAGCAGCAGGATGGCAAGGACAAACATGACCCACTCACCAAGACTCCCCTCGCCCAGTCAAATGAAACGCATTGACAAGATATTAGAAATACCACCACAGCTGCTGAGTATCAAATAGGTGGGAGGTACATGGTTCTGGCAATCCATGAGTATCCAATAAAACAAAAATATCAGAAAGTAATAAACCAGTGTAAAAAGACTGTGTAAACACAGTGAGTAACAAATCATAAAAAAAATCTGTGTTGATGGGGTTGCATTTTGAGACGGTGCTGAAACCATCTTATCAGAGTTAATAAAAGCAGAGGGTGTTGCTGGCTGACCCATCATCTTTCTTCTCATCAGTGTGGCCTAAAGTTGCACAGCAGTGGTTTGAGAAGTGGGACCTGGCTCTGAGATTGTGTTTAGATAATGGCCATCTCCAATCATAGATAATCTGGACCCATCTTTTCTTCACAGACACTGCAGCAGACAAGGTCAGGGGGAAAAAGATTCCTGGCGAGCTCAGGCGGAGATAGGGATGGGGCAGCTCTGAGATGATTTACTGCTGAGATTCACTCAGCTGCCTCCATCACCCTCCGTTAACTTTCTCATCCTGTCATCCCTTCGCCTCTCGCTGTTCTTGTCTTCTATCTCTCGCTCTTTCGCATTCCTCCATGGGCCTTGTACTGAATCCCACCTCTCCTCTATCACTTGCTTCATTTCCCTGTTTTCTGTGCAGTGCCAGTAAAGCAGGGAGGGTGGTAGGAAGACAAAGAAGAACGGAGGGAAGGAGAGCTTTCATCATTCATGCTTGTTCTGGACTGAGGCTAATTGGTTTCAAGTAGAAAAATATAGTTGTGGCTCTTTCCCCAGAGACCTTTTGATTAACTGTGTCTAAATATCTCTCAGTTGCATAGTGTGAGGAGTATTATGGAAAAAGAAAAGTAAGGTATATTGAGCAGACTGACACAAATATTTCAAGGATGTGATGCTTCTCTCCCATGATCCATTTTCTTTTTTTAAATTAATTAAGACATGAGTCATTGTAACAGACAGCCAGATCATCAGCTTTGCGATCCACAGCAGTGAACAAGTGGTAGGTTTGTGTGGAGCCAGTTTCTCCACCATTTTCCGCCCCTCAGTCATTTTATGAGTTCTGGTTTTTACCTCTCCTCCTGACACTCCCATATCCCCAGAGAGATGACGTCTCACAGGGACAGAGTGAACAAAAGAGGGGCTTCTTAGCTTCGAAATGGAGTAATGGACCCTAATACCTGCACAGGCACGGAATCGAGACCCTGTGCAGCTTTCCGTGACAGATAATTGCTGATGTCTTTGTAGTGATAAATGTGACT